TGAGGATACAGGAGACTCAGTGCTCATTTGCTGGCTGCATGTGATGGGGGCTTTCTGCTTCCTTTCCAGGCCAAGGAATTTCTGCAGCTCTTGCAGGCATGCACGGCCAACAAAAAGCTCTAGCAGAAGCAATCCAGCATCCCCGTGGCCACGCTCCAAGAGGGACTGCATTTACGTCATCAAACTGCCCTTCCTGGACTTGCTGCCTGTTGGTTCCCCAGGGACAGTGCCTTAGCTGGACAGACACTCACTGTGTGAGCACCAGGAGGATGCTGTGCACCCAAGGAGCTGTGCCTCGTCTCATTTGCAAGGACAGGGAGAGGTTCTCCAACCTCATTTGAAAACACAGTTGCACACACTCCCCCCCCCCCCATCCCACCCCGTACCACCACGTGCTGGTTTCCTACGGCATTTAGTGGATAGTGTTTCCTAGCACAGCTGCGGGCAGCTGTACCCCTACACTGGCACCTTATTCATGCACCTAGAGCCTGCCCCCAACCTGCCAGAAGCAGTGGAGGGGGAACAGTCCCGGGAAGAACCTGCCCAGTGTGGTGGCGTTCCTCTTGTAAAAATTTTTTTTTAAAAAAAAATAAACATGGATGGAAAATGATCGTGTCTGGGTCAGTGGCTCGATTTTGGTCAGGGCAAGAAAGAGCAACACCATCTTGTCTGGTTGGGCACCTTTCACTACACCACTGTGGATCTTGTTAGAATGTTCGGTTTGCTTACTTCATCCCTCCTCCCACTTTGCACAGCCATCGTGACGCACCTTTGGAGATCCGGTGCTTGCTTGACGCTTAGCAGCAGAGCGGGGGGGGGGGGACTGAGAGTCTCATAAGAACATAAGAGACGCCAATTTTGGATCAGGCCAAAGGCCCACCCAGTCCAACACTCTGTGTCACACAGTGGCCAGAAAGACCAGGTGCCATCAGGAGGTCCACCAGTGGGGCCAGGACATTAGAAGCCCTCCCACTGTTGACCCCCCCCCCAAGCACCAAGAAGACAGAGCATCACTTGCCCCAGAGCCCCTATTTATACCTTGTGGCTAATAGCCACTGATGGACCTCTGCTCCATATGCTTATCTAATTCCCTTTTGAAGCCGTCCATGCTTGTAGCCGCCACCCACCTCCTGTGGCAGTGAATTCCATGTGTCTCAAGCAAGTGTTGGCAAAACTAAGGAAGAGGCTACAGGGAAGGGCAAAGGCACCCTGGGGGATTCAGCACTAAGGCACAGCAGGTGGCTTGCGTAGCTTTCCAAGTGACAGGAGCACTGTGATAGAAAGTATAAAACACATTCCTTTGGGGGGGGGGAGTGAAGATGGTCTTTGGGACAGAGGCCTCCAAATTCCATCCCTGTCACTGGCCTCCGAGATCATGCCCCTAGTTCTCAACCAGTCTGCCCGTGTCTGTGCCCACACGCCCGCTGTCGAGTGTCGACCAGAAGAGGTCTCTTCCCAGATCCCACAAAGGAGCTGCACCCTCCGCACCCCTGCTGCTCACGGCCTTGCCCACTAGCCCACGTGCAGCTGAAACACATTTACTGTCTCAGAGACAGAGAGCAACGCAAGATGGCCAGGGGCACCACGTGCAGAAATACAAGCTTAGGGTTTTTTTGTTTTAAATACAGAAAGGCGTTTCACTGGTCTGCAGAAGGGCCCAAGTCCATCAGCAACATGTGTGTTCAAATAAATCCCGTTGCAGGAAGGAAAACATTTAATGAACCACATTCACGAGAGAAGTGGAGGGAACAAACAGGAAAAATCTTACGAGGCCCAGTGAGTCCTACTTTAAGCAAATACATGGTTTTCACCAGCTCTAGTAAGACACGCACACAAAGTGCCTGGCTCCTCAAGGGAACAGGAGGCAGGAGGAGAGGCTCAGCTCGACAGCCACACAGACTGTTCCAACTCAGGGACTCCTCTTGGGAGCCCTCTCCCCCCACCACCTGGGTTGCAGAAACGGAGGTGGCTGTCTGCTTGTGGGAGCCTTGATGCTTCCCGGAGAGCGAGATAGTCCAGCCTCCAGCCAGAGAACCAGCAAAGCCCGCTCACTGCTCTTGCGTACCCCAGGAGATGTAGTCAGGCCGCGTGGCGGCATGGTACTCGTCAATCAGCTCCTGGACAACCTTGCGGGAGTCATCAAGTTCATCAAAGTTCTCCTTGAATATGTCTTCCTTGCGGAATTGCTCCAGGAAGGCTTCGCGCTTGCGCAGTTTGTCATATTGGTGGCAGGTGCGTTCAAAGAGCTGGGCAAAGAGGAGGGGTACAGAATAGAGCAGTGTATGGGCAAGAGGCAGAGAGAAAGAGAGAGGCCACTCACTGCAACGACACATATTGCTGGACGCTTCAGCCCACAGCTACCCTGTGAGGTTGAAACCTCCTAAGGCCAGCAATCCCGGAGTCATGTCGTTCCTCGGGAATAATGTTAGTGCTAAACTGAAACTGATTCCTACACGGCAAAACCGTACGACTGCAGGAAGGCCCCAGCCCACCCCCGATTTGTGCCCAGACTCACCGAGGAGATGTTGGTGTGATTAGCCATCATCAGTCCGCTGACTCTATGAGCCGAAGGCAAGTACGGGGACTTCCTGGAGAGCGCCACCTGGATGCTGGCCGGGCCCCAGGGGATGAAATTGGCCAGCTTCCTCTCACGGATTCGCTGCAAACTCTTATGGACCTGAGGAGAGGAGAGGCACTCCGTCCGCGCGTGCGTGGACACCCCTACGGAGAGCTGCTCAGGTTGGAGGACCTGCAGTCAAGTTACTTTCTCTTCGGAAGCTGGCCCAAGAAGAGAGGCTCACTCAAGGTGACAAGGACAACTTTGATATGTTCCACAGGTGGACACGGAACTCCTACTGAGCTGTGGCTATGTTGCGTATCACCCTTCCCCTCTCATCATGACCAGTGTTCCCTCTAAGCTGAGTTAAGTGTGAGCTAGCTCACAGGTGTTTAGCCTCTGGCTCACACATTATTGTCTTAACTCAGGAAGGATGGCTCCAGAGCAGACTAATTTATGCAGGAGCCAAATGGCTTGCTCACAGCTTTAATGCCAGTAGCTCACAAACTAGAATTTTTGCTCACAAGACTCCACAGCTTAGAGGGAACATTGATCACGACCCCCTTATAAAAGTCTCCCAGGCCGTCACGCCCTGGCTTGGCTGATCTCCGTCCCGTCTACTAACCTGAGTGGGGTCCACCTCCCCCTGGATTATGTTGAGGATAGCGATGTAACAGTGGTTTGTCTGCCGGTCCCGCCCCATGGATACCATGACGTTCTTGGGTTGCAGGAGTCGCCGCATGACATCCAGGACGGTGGTTTTGCGCACACTGGCCACCTGTGGGCAACAAGATGACAGCACGGGCATCCCAGGGCGCACAGGGTGGTCAGCGGGGACTCTTCACTGCAGAGAAGCCTCCCGAGAGGGGTGTTTCAGTGCAAAGCTGGGTTCAGTGAAACTGCTCCAGCTTCCCAAGCGACTCGAAAGGCTAAACAAGACACGACTCTTTTCTCCCCACCCAGGTATCATGTCGTATTGCTTGTAAGAGATTTGGGCCAGTCTGGGTTTTTCCCCCCTGAAGGACAGATAGGAGTAGGTAGAAACAGGTTGGACAGGAAAAAGTGTCAGAGACTGCCTGGCATGGTGAGGCAACTGCAAACGTGCCAGGTCAGGATGAAGAAGAAATTTAAAAAGGCGGCCAGAGGGGACACACCCAAACAACACACGGCATGCATCTGATACCCGCTTCCGGATAGCCAGCCTTTGTGACACGCCCCTCCGTAGCCTGTCCTGCTGCTTGTGGGCAGGGGTAACGGGGGAGAGAAGACAAGGGTGGGGGGGGGGGGGGGGGGGCAGCCGCGGAGCTCAGAAAAGGACCTTTGCTGCTTTTTCTGGACACCTTTGTTGCAGCGTTTGAGAGGGAGGACATCTGGCTGCACACTGATCAGCAGATGCACCCCTCCTTCAGGCGTGTGGCTCTGTGGGCCCTCTTTTCAGGGAGGGCTTGCCAGCAAGGGAGAAAAGGGCTGGTGAAACGACGGTGCACAAGGTGGGCAAATGGATTCTCTGCCCGCCTCCATCCAATCCAGTTCAAGGCAGCAAACATGTTTCCCACCACCTCAGGCTTTGACTGCCACAAGAACCCCACGGAGTAGCCAAGGCTGAGAGAACGAGCGCAAAGTAACCCAGTGGCCAGACCCTGTGTGAGACTACGGCCCCGTGCTGGCCACCCCCCACCCCCCAGGGCCTGGCCTGGAAGCAGAGGAGAGGGGACACTTACAGCCTGGTCCGTGGTGAGAGGCGTGTACCCCGTGATCAGGAAATGCAACCTGGGGGTGGGGATGAGGGAGGCAATGAGTCCAATCAAATCGTTGTTCATGTAGCCGGGATAACGTAAGGTGGTCGTACTGGCTGACATGATGGTGGAGACCTAGCCGAGGAGCAAGACGAGAGTCAGGGCAGGAGAGACACCCTTCTCCCAGAGGCCGCAGTCACAAATCCGGCCACAGGTTCCAGCCACACAGTGCGGAGCTACCCATCGGGAAGCCCCCGGCTCCCTTTCTCCCGGGGATTGGCCACAGATCCCAGCCCTGCCGGGCCTGCTCACTCACCAGCTGGTTGATCTGGGAAAAAGTGGGGTTCTGGATGTGCAGCCTGTCAGTAGCAATGCGGTTCAGAGCTGTGTTGTCTAGGACCACCTGTCAGAGAAGAAGAAGAAGAAGAAGAGATTGGATTTATACCCCGCCCTTCACTTGGAGTCTCAGAGCGGCTTACAAACTCCTTTCCCTTCCCCTCCCCACAACAGACACCCCTGTGAGGTGGGTGGGGCTGAGAGAGCTCTGACACAAACTGCTCTTTTTTCAAGGACAGCTGTGCCAGAGCTTGTGACTGACCCAAGGTCACATCAGCAGGTGCAAGTGGAGGAGTGGGGAATCAAACCCGGTTCTCCCAGATTAGAGTCCGCGCACTTAACCACTACACCAAACTGGCTCTCAGACAGAATTCCTGGGTAACAAATGGGCGGGGGAGGGCATCAACCCATCTGGAGGGGACGGGCACTGCCACATGCCCTGAGAAACCCCAAGAAATCAACCCTCACCCTTAGAGAGGGACGTGGTCTGCCGGCACGCCTGCCCATGGGTCTGAAGCAGTGTTCCCTCTAAGCTGAGGTAGTGTGAGCTAGCTCACAGTTCTTTAGCCTCCGGCTCACACGTTTTTGTCTCTGCTCAGGAAGGAGGGCTCCGGAGCAAACCAATTTATGCAGGAGCCAAATTGCTCGCTCACAACTTTAATGCCAGTAGCTCACAAAGTAGAATTTTTGCTCACAAGACTCCACAGCTTAGAGGGAACATTGGAAAGCACAGACCCTCCCTTCCCCCTTCTTCCCCTCGTCTCCCGAGGCAGGAACCCGCATTCCCCACCCAGCACCCCTTACCACACAATCAGCATTCTGGGTCAGCCGCTTGAGCGTCAAGAGGGAGTTGTAGGGCTGCACCACCACATCACTCATCTCATCTTGGTTGGGGAAGACCGAGTACGTCTGCACCAGTTTCTTAGGGTACCTGTTGGGAGTTGGACCTTGTCAACAGCAGCCCCGTAAAAGGCAGTTCACGTTTCCAGGGAATGGCTTCCACGCTGTGGCACCCCTGGAGGCCAACGGGCAGTCTCAGGTCCGGATTGTCTCGTAACAGGGTTGTGAGTGCAGAGGCGCTGAGTGCTGCTGGGCACCAAGACCCCGCACAGAGAAGTTTGGGGTTTGACAGCACTGTTATCAGAAACAGGACACCCACCTGGACTGAAAACGGTAATGAATCTCAATGACAAATACCATCCACTCCCTTCCTATTTTGGGAATTTGAGGAAACACAAAGATCTCTGCATCAGTAACACTGGACCCTGCTTAGCATGTCAAGAAGGGCCCCACCCCCCACCCCGTGAAAGCCGGGCCAATGAACACAGCACAGGGATTCTTATGTAAGTTCTTATTTATTTATTTATTTTTCACATTTATACCCCGCCCTCCCCAATGGGCTCAGGGCGGCTAACAAGGGCAAGGTGAACCATGCCATAATTAAAACAGTAACGTAAAACATATAATCCATTAAAACATCCAAATACTTAAAAACAACAGTGCTCAAACTTCTGATATCGTAGGTCCAAAGAGGGCATCGATACAGTTCCAGGTGGTACTTCCAATGCTGTTTGCGCCCACAGGAGAACGGCTTAGATCTTCTTTGCAATATCCAGGTGCTTCCTCAGGGCCTCGTCAACCATGACGGTGGTGGAATAGTGGGGGGGGGGGCGGCTCCTACTCAAAGGCCTGGCAGAAGAGCTCCGTCTTGCAGGCCCTGTGGAACTGCATAAGGTCCCGCAGGGCCCGGATCTCCCCCGGGAGCTCATCCCACCAGGAAGAAGCCCTGGTCGCAGCCAGTTTAGCGTCTTTAGGACCGGGGATGACCAACAAATTTTGGGCCCCCAACCGTAGTACTCTTGGGGGAATGTCTGGGGAAAGGCGGTCCCCCAGGTAGGCTGGACCCTGGCCATATAGGGCTTTATAGGTAAGAACCAGCACTTTGAAGCGGACCCGGTACGCTTCTGGCTCAATGAGAGGAGGGGACCGGTCACGGTGACTCCTCCCATCTAAGAAAGGAGGCAGAACTTGTAGAGACTTAAACACTTCCGTGGGCTGAGGGGGAAAAGAGGAGAGAGGCACTCCAGTTGTGCAAGAATCCGTTTGTGAAAAAACAGAACCTGTAATGCTCTCTACATGGGACTGCGCCCTTGTCTCAGATCCGGAAGCTACAGCTAGTGCAAAATGCTGTGGCTAGGCTTTTGATAGGTCTGCACTGGCTACCGATAGCATATCGAATCTGCTTCAAGGTGCTGGTTCTTACCTTTAAAGCCCTTTACGGTCAGGGGCCTACACACCTGAGGGACCGCCTTTCCCCACAGGTTCCCCAGAGAGCACTGCGGTCAGAGTCGCAAAACCGTCTGAGTCTCCCTGGTCCGAAAGACGCCAGATTGGCATTGACCAGGCCCAGGGCCTTCTCAGTGGCGGCTCCCTACTGGTGGAATGAGCTCCTGGAGGAGATCAGGGCCCTGCGGGACCTTGTGCAATTCCGGAGGGCCTGCAAGATGGAGCTCGTCCACCAGGCCTTCAACTAAGGATGGTAAGGCAGAGAGCCCTGTCCTTTAGAGTCACCAGCAGCAGCCTCTGCCTGCCGCATGAGAAACAGAACAAGGAGCTGATCGACAGGCGAGACCATCGACTGGCTGCCACCATCGCCAAACATTATCATCATCAGATGATACTGCCACTTTATGATAGTGGATCGTTTTCAGAAGGTTTTATGACTGTTTTAACTGTTATCTCTGTGTTTTATTAATCTTTTTTGGGGGGTTTGCCAAAATTGTTGTTTTTGTATTAGTTGTGATTCAATTGCTTCTAAAATCTTGTGTTGTGCTTGTAATTCTCTGTAGATTTTTTTATTTCCTGGTTTTTTTATGAATTCTTTCCAAATCCTGAATTTTTGTTAAAAGTAATTGAATTGTGGTTTCTCTTTCTTTTTTGAAACTTGACGCTAACGCTATTGACTTTCCTCTCATAACTGCTTTGAGAGCATCCCATACCATATGGCTTTCAACCTCCCCATTATCATTTTCCTTGAAATAATTTTTAATGTGTGTTAATTCTTCCCTGTTGTTCATTTAATAAAAGAATTTTATTTAGTTTCCATGTTTGTTGTCTTTGTGTTGCATTATGCTTCATAAGGTGCATTTCAACATAAGTGTGATCGGACCACATGAAGGGGCCTATATCTGTTATAGAGATTCTGGGCAGAAGCAAATCAGATATGAGGAGTCTATGCGGGTGTACATATGAAACCTGGGAGAAAAATACATATCTCATTCTCCTTTGTGCAATTCTGTCCAAGTATCACAAAATTGGTATTTTCCTAATAATTCATATAGCTTAGTATATCTTTTTCCTGAGGATGTTTTCCTGATGCATCTACCTGATCTATCCAAATGATGGTTAGCAATTAAGTTAAAGTCACCCTCTGTAATTGTTTGCCCCCGCTTGAATTTTTGAATTTTAGCAAAGGCTTCATCCAAAAACTGCCATTGCATTTCATTAGGTGCATATATTGACGCTAAAGGGATCAACTCTTGGTCTAATCTACCTCTAAAAAATAAAAATCTACCTCTAGAATCTTCAAGCTTGTCTTCCAAATTAAAATATACTGATTTTGAGAATAAGATCACTACTCCTCTTGATTTTGAGGAGCCACAAACTTGATATTGTTGATCAATTCGTTCGTAATATTGGTTTTGAATTAGATTTTAATTGAGTCTCTTGCATCAATATTATATCTGGCTTTGATTTTAGGATAAACGATGTCATTATCTTCTGTTTAATCAGGTTATTCATTCCCCAAGCATTAATTGTCCTGATTATATATTTATCTGTCATTCTTGCTTTGTATGTTTTCTTAATCTCAATTGAATACTCTGTGTTTTTCTTGCTGTACTGGAAATAAAAATGTCTATATATCCTTAAATTTACACTCTATATGAACCTCAATAATTAACTACCTCAAGTTATTAGTTCTAACAAACAAAAGCAACCCCCCCTTACAGACCACCCCCTCCCCCCCAACACAGTACCTGATCATAACTCTATGCGGCACCTAGGTGTCGCATTTATTCTAAACTCTAAATATAATGTCACCAAAAAAAAAGACACACTTCTGGTAAAACAGAATAAAATCCTGTCTTCTAGGAACACTAATACGAGAGGACCATCCTAACTCTAAACTATGCTCCCTCCCCCCAATGTATAATAACAGTAGTTTTAACTGTGAAACAGAAATATAAAAGTATAATTATAGCAAGATATTAAAGTAATAAATTGTTAAACATTTATAGATGTAATATTTTAAATCTGAATAAGTGTTTAAGCTCAGGAGCCTGCTACATTGCTAGGTACTGGGATCTTGCTGGCTTTTTGCGGAGATGCAGAAAAAAGCCACTTTCTCTTAGAGGATTTCTTATCTTCCTGGTCCATAGGGATTTCTTCCTGAAGTATATAAAGTAAGTCTCTACCACTCTCTTCATCCAAAGCATAAAAAGCTGGTGGCCTTGGAAGGCTACATAGTTTTCCAGAGGGCAGCCGCCTGTATTTTTGTTTCATAGATTACAGTTTAGCTGGTTTCAGTTTCCTATGGATGGAGATTGCCTCTTTTGGGATATCGGGAAAAATCTGAAGATTTTCTCCTTCAAATTGAAAGGTTCTCGGATTTCTTGCTTCTTCCAAGATTTTGCAACGAGCTCTTGCATCTGGGATTGTTATTGGAACATCCCAAGGGTTTGGATGCCTGTTTCTTGTCGGGGGTCCCATTCTTGCTGCATATGTAAGGACTGGGAATACCCCTTCTTCCAGTTTCAGAGCATTTGCTAAAAGCCTAGACATAAAGCTTATTACAGCTTTGTTTTCTTCCGCTTCCTCTCTCAGACCTCTGATTTTTAGGTTGGCAGCTTTAAATTCTGTCTCCAGTGATATGAGTTGGCCTTTCTGGGATGATATGGTCTCCTGGAGACCTTTGATGTCTGCTTAGATCCATTGCTGGCTGCATCGGCTTTTTGTGCAGTCTGTGAGAGGGCAGTTTTTATCTCTTCCAGTTGCGTGGAAAGTGCGGACATCTTCTCTAAGATGCCTGTCTCCACGGTTTTCAGATATTCTAATGCAGTTCCTGATGAGGAAGCAGCAGCAGTCTGCTCTGTTTGTTCCATTTGTATTATGCCGGACGCCATTTTGTTTTCGGCCCGCTGGGCTGTGCCTCTGCATTGCCAAATCAAAGAGCTCTTTCGCCGATTTGGCAGAGTCCGGAGTCAGCTTATTCTTTGGGATGTCGTTTTTGCCCATTCTTCGCTTCCCCCCCTCCCCTGTTTTAGTAGCATTAATCTCAGGGGGGATCGGGAGGGAGCTGGAGCGTTATACGACTGCCATGTTCGCTGTGTTGCGATACCCCCCCCCCCCCCCCCCTGTTTTTTCTTAAGGAAAAAAAAATTTTAGACGAAAGACGCAGAACTGCCTTCTGATCCAAAAGAGCCCCCAGCTCTAAAACATGGGAAATACCATTCATGCAGGCTCTCAGGGATCCCAATATCTTGGGGTGAGGCTCCATAAGCCCTGCATGAGGTGTTGAAGACGTGTCTGATAAGCCAGGATTTCTTTCACCTCACTAAGCCTGATTTGGCAAGTTTCACTGCCACAGCCTAAGCTGGCTCCTAACAGCAAGCTGCAGTAACCTCCAGCAATGGAGAGTGAATAGCTTAGCTCTTTTAGTAGTCTAAGGTTTCCTTACACAGCTCTGAGGTGGGCCACTGCTAGATGATCTGAAGCAGGTCTGCCTCTGCACGGATGAAGGCTGGGAAGCGAACAGGAACTGAGTGGTGCTGAACCCCACAAGGACTCATAAGGAGTACAAGTAGCCAGGAGTACTTGGGCTTCGGTTGGTTATTGGCAGGAGGTTCCACGCACCAAACTGTGTTCTGGGGCAAGTCTGTGTCAACAGACTGTGTCAACAGTCTGCTCTGCTTACTAACAAGAAGAGGTCATTTCAGGGGGGATCGCAGTTCCCCCGGGTGAGGTACAGGGGGCGGGGCACATGACGAAGCCCCGCCCCCTGCTTTCGGCCGCCCCGCTTCCGGCCCTCATTCAGCCAGGAGGAGGCAGGAGAAGAGGGAGGGTAAGTTGCTTCCTCCCTGCCTCTCCCCACCCCTGCCTGCCTGGGGCCAGGGAGGGCCTTTGCGGGGCTTCCTTGCACTCCCGCCGGCCTTGCAGGTCCACCGCCGGGCCCCTCATGGGGCTCGGCAGTGGAGCTGCAAGGCCGGCGGTGGCGGGCGGGACCGTTGGGGGTGGGGTGTGTGGCCTTATGACACACTTCCGGTGATGTCAGGGGGTGTTGCATATGCTAATGAGTTATGCTAATGAGTTCCCCTAGCTCTTTTTCTACGAAACGACCCCTGCTAACAAGCATGGTGCCAAGAAGAAAGAAAACAGCCTCTAAGCCTGAGGCTGTGGTCTCAGTGGAAGCAGGACACATTGAGGGTGTGGCCCTTCCACTGGAAGCTCCATCCCTCTGGCAGATGGGAGCAGCTGCTCGTGGCTGGAGGGCTCTCTTGCTTCAGCGGAAAGAACCTGGACGGGGAGTTCAGCATTCTAATCTACCTGTTCCCAAATCCAGTGCAATGACAATTCCTGGGAGCATGTGGCTTGCTCCCAGCCCTGCACAGCACAAGACAGCTCTTTGGAGACTTCTGGCACATACAGAGGACTTGGAGGTGGACAAAGTTTATCAGTAGCCATAAGTTGTGGCTGGGCTAAGCCCAAAGCTCCTGGAGAAAACACTAGAAAAGCCCTGCTGGATCAGACTAGTGTGGTCTCCCTGGGTCACAAAGTGGCCCTTCGGGGTTAGGGCGGTATAGCAACTTGAAAGTATAAATAAAATAAAATAAATAAATTAGCCTGGGTGGCCCACAAACAAGGGACAGAAGTGAAGGCTTTCCCCTGATCTTGTCTGTGCTCCCAGTAACAGTTTCACAATGAAAATATTAATCTACTGCATTCAGGGGGCATTTCTTTAGTGCATTATTAACCCACAAGGTAAGACCACCCTTAGAAGCTTCTTCACTGAGGGATGAGGCCCAGCAATCTCCCTTTCTTCCCTGCTGCCGGCGCCACAGATACAAGGCCTGCCCACTGCAGTCCCTGGGAGGGTGACTGCACTCAGAGTAAGTTCTACGCACCTTTGAATGTCTGCCCACCTCCCGGCTTCTCCAAACAACCCATCTTATTTCATCCACGGCCACTGCACCGAACAGTGCATCATTTACCTGTCATTCAATCTCTCGAGGAGATAAGAACCCAAGCCCGATCCAGTCCCACCTGCGATGGAATGGCACAGCACAAAACCCTGGAGGAGGAAGGATAAGGCATGACGGAAAGCTTTGGGGAGGGCTCTCCATACCCATCACAGCATGCAGGCCAAAAGGCAAAGGCAAGTGGACGCCCATGCCGCCTCGCCACGCCTCTGTGCTCAGCCCCCCCGCCCTGCACTACAAGAGCTCCAGAAGACTCACGACAAACACAAACCACAACTACGTTGCCTGACCCACAGCGGGCTACATAAATCCGCAATTTAAGGGCAAGTAGCGAGGTCACCGAGGGGGTGGGTGGGAATGGTGATAAAATGCTAGCAAGGGCTTAAACAGAACCCAGCCTCACCAGCAGCTAGCTTAAAAACTCAAAAATGCAGCCCTGAGCTCTCTAAAGAGTGGAAAGAGTACTTAAGTTACATTTCCAACAACTTATATCTGAAAACTAACCCACCAGACAACAGAAATTATTTTGGAATAAACATCAAGAGAAAGCCTTCCAGTCCTGACCTGAATAGCCCAGGCAAGCTGGATCTCGTTAGATCTTGGAAACTAAGCAGGGACTGCTGCGGTCAGTACTCAGAAGGGAGACCTCCAGAGAATACCAGAGGCAGGCTCATCAAGCCACCCCCAGAGATCACCATGACTTCCAGGCAAGCACACAAAACACACACGCGCACATAATTTTTTTTTTTTGTAAAAAAAGAGAAAGCCTTCCAGATCTACAAAAGCCAAATGTTAGAGGTCTGCACCAAAATGCGATGGAAGAATTCCAACAACAATGGAAATGGGGTTTCCAACAATTAGCCTGACCTCGGCAGTCTCAGGCAGCCGTCTGGCAAATCCAGGGCTATTTTTGGGCTGGAACGCACAGGAACGGAGTTCCGGCTGGCTCCTGAGTTGGCCACGCCCAGCAGGAACTCATTAGCATAATAGGCCACACCCAACAGCAGGAACTCATTAGGATTGGCTACATTAGGGGTGTGTGGCCTAGCAAGCAAAGGGTTCCTGCTACAAAAAAAGCCCCGGGTTTTGACAACAAACAAGGTAAACAGAATAAGAAGCGAAAGGTGGGTGTGGCTGGATGACCACAGTTCTGGTAATGTGGGGTGTGGTCTAATATGCGAATGAGCTGCTCTGTCGGGGGTGTGGCATAATATGCTAATGAGTTTCTGCTGTTGGGTGTGGCATATTATGCTAATGAGTTCCTGCTGGGCTTTTTCTACAAAAAAAGCCCCGGGCAAATCTGGGGATTCCTGAAGGCTCCCTCCCCCTGCAGATGGCCTCTTGCCCCCCCCCCCACTTTTCCTTTGTCTTACCTCCAAACTGTCACTGCCATCAGCTTCTCTGTCTATAATGTCAAAGATATCTTCATGGATCTTTTCTCCCTACAACAAATATTCAGAGATGTAGCCCATATTAAAAACTGGATTTGACGGTAAACATTGTGATTCAATCGCTTCTCAGAAAACACATTTCTAAAGCCATAACTTTCATTTAAGCAAATAAAAAACCCACTCCCAGGCTCAGTGTCCAGGGAGGTACCACCCATTTCCTCACTGTCTGCTTGTCCTTCGCTTATCAGCCGCCTTACCTGTGAAAAGCCACTGGCCCAGTTGTTCCCAGCCCCGCCGCCGTGCTCAGACAGGTATATGTTTTCCGGGTTGTACAGCTTAGCATACGGAGAGTTCAGGATGGAATGAATGACGCGCGGTTCCAGGTCCAGGAGAACAGCCCGTGGGATATAGTGCTCATCATCGGCCTGTTATGGAAAACAAAAAGCATGCATGCCCTGCAGAAAACAAACCCGTTCAGAGTCGCGGCGGGTGGACTCCCAGGGAACATGGCGGCCTGATAAGGAGCACTCTCATAGGCTCCAGTCCAGTATTGCTGTGGGGCAAACAATGCCAGGGAAGGAGGGGATTTGTTTCTCGACCCTCCCCTCTCCCCTATAGGAGAGACCCGACTGACAAGTGAACCCACCGGGGTGGTGGTGGTGGTTGCTTGATAGATCAGGTTTCCACTCGGGTTCTGGAAATATCAAGGGCAGCTGAGACAAGGAGGGCTCTTTGCCAATAAGGGACCTTATGCAGTTTCGCAGGGCCTGCAAGACGGAGCTCTTCCACCAAGCTTTTGCACAGGGGCCGCCGCTGCCACCACCACCAATGGTGGCAATATCATCGGGATTAGGAAGTGCCCTTGGAAGCTCAGCCATAAATTGCATGGCATTGACAACGTGGGATTGGCATGAACGATCCACTGGACAGGGGTACCCCAATGGGGCTGATTTGAAGATGCCATCATAACCACTCAAGACCATCTTGTTCACAGAAAGCACTTTATTATTGTTATTATTCATGATTTTATTGTCTTATTGGGTTTTATGCATGGGCTCTTGCCCCTGGGAAGCTGCCCTGAGCCCGCTTGCGGGGAGGGCGGGGTAAAACTGCCTAAATAAATAAATAAGGTCAGCCAGCACCCAGCTCTGCGTTTCATTTATCGAAGCCTCTAGATGTGTCCGCCTTGATTCTGAGGCGGTGCTTCGAGGCTGCGGTCAAGTGGCTACGGTAGAAAGAACAGAAGCCGAATCCAGACAAGACCCAGGCAGTTCTGGCTGGGAAGGCTGATGTTCCAGGGGGACTGAACCCCCTCCTCCTCCTTGATGGACGGAGAGACGGACGCTGCCTTTTCCAGGGGAGGTCAGGAGCCTGGGGCTACTCGTGGACCCCACCTTGCGTTCTGAAGAGCAGGCTGGCAAGGTGCTCAGGAGTGCCTCCCACTGGTTGCACCCGACTCACCCGCTTCCTCCCTGGCCACACGGATCCACGCCTCTGCGGCAGCCCGACTGCTGCCAGGGGCCAGCTAAAGGGAACAGGCCTTGCCCATTCGGTAACAGCTATGCTGGATGTGGCCTTTAAAGCGCTACGCGACCTGGGACCTGCACAGGACAGTCTTCTTGTCTGCGTCCCTCTGCGCCAGCGATGTTCCTCAGGCAGCCCGTCTCTTGGCTATCTCACCACGTTGGGTGGCCCCTCTAAGCATCAGCTGGGGCCCTTTCCATTGCAGCGCCACAGTTCTGTGGAATGAGCTTGTGGAAGAGGTGAGGAGCCCCTCCCTAGAGATCTTCACAAGGCCCTGCAAGGTCTGCCTGTTTGCCAGGGCTTTGGAGGAGGTTTAAATGGCAGGCTTTTTTCGGGGGGGGGGGGGTGATTTGGGCCTTGATAAATTTATTTTATCTTTGGTTTTAGCTGGGGATGTTTTAACTAATACTGTAAGCAGCCTTGAACCAAGAGAAAAGGGTGAAGTATAACCGTTTCATCAATAAGTAAACAAGAATCAACAGACAAGGATGCCAGGCGGGCCTCTGAGGAACGGTGTACCAGAGCCAAGAGGCCACCCCAGAAAAAAGACACCCCCCCGTCAGCTAGCTGCCATGTTTTGCTTGTTCCCCTCTGTATTCAATAGCTGCCATTGAATGCATAACGATATGTGAACTACATAACTGACTTGCCATATAAAGCTTTGTCCTGGGCTAGGATCCATATCCATCCAATCACATTGCTAGCCCAGGAAGCACCTAACCAATCACTGGTCAGCAAGCTCCCTGAGCGGGAACGTCCATGATTGGTCCTTATGTATGCAACCTTATTGGTTGGTAACTGTACAGTAGGCGTGGCTACATTAGCCGGGAGAGTTTAAAAGCAGGACAGCTGCAATGTAAAAGCTGTTCTGCCTATCAGACGTTGATTCGTGTTGGAGTTGTGTTCAGTTGTTGAATAAAGTTGAACCTTTGCTGAATCACTCTCCGAATACTTTGTTAAGCGAGCAACTTAACACCCTCTCTGATCCTGGCTTGCTCGCTGCTCTACCGCTTGCTGTAAACAATGCTAGGGAAACTGTGGGAGCCAGTTCTGCCAGGCGGTGTTATCTGCTTGGCCTTGTGAAGGGGGGAGGACTTGCGTTCCACCCCTGGTGTGAATCTTTCGGCTCTCATGGGGCACTGCGACTCTCCCGCTTATCATGTCTCCTCCCGCCGGGAGAATTCTCGCCAGTCCACTCGAATTTCATTTGCTTAGCCTCGTCCTGCTATATGTAGGGATATTCCCACCCCAAGGTCATTCCTAACAATAATCCTGTGGATAGGGTACCAGTTTTGTAATCTAGTAAAGCATAACATTTCCTTAGAAACGTGTGTGGAAATTTACTTTACTTGCTGCAGAACCTGACAGCAGCGCCTGGTGCCGCACAACGGCCTGCAAAACAGAGCAGGGGGCAGGGGAGGTTCCCGCAGGAGACGGGCCAGATCCCGCCGCCCTTTTTTGCTGTTCAGTCGCACAGTCGAGTCCGACTCTTCGCGACCCCATGGACCAGATCACGCCAGGCCCTCCTGTCTTCCGCCGTCCTCTGAAGTTTGCTCAATTTCATGTCCGTTGCATCTATGGCACTGTCTAACCATCTCATCCTTTGTGGTCCCCGTCTTCTTTGACCTTCCGTCTTCCCCAGCATCAGGGTCTTCAGGCCCTACCTGGTAGAAGAAGACATCCTTGCGGTCGGTGCCTTCCGTGGCGAACTCTTCCACGATGCCCTCCGGGCTGATGCCGTGCTCGGCACACAGCTGCTTCCAGAACTCGAACCCGACTGTGTGGGGAGAAGAAGAAGAAGAGATTGGATTTCTACCCCGCCCTTCACTTGGAGTCTCAGAGCGGCTTACAAGCTCCTTTCCCTCCCCCTCCCCACCACAGACACCGTGAGGTGGGTGGAGCTAAGAGAACTCCGACACAAACTGCTCTTTTTCAAGGACAGCTGTGCCAGAGCTTGTGACTGACCCAAGGTCACACCAGCAGGTGCAAGTATAGGAGTGGGGAATCAAACCCAGTTCTCCCAGATTAGAGTCCGCGCATTTAACCACTACACCAAAGAAGAAGAAGAGGAGGAGATTGGGTTTATACCCCATGGCCCTTGACTACCCAAAGGTGTCTCAGAGCGGCTTACAAACTCCTTTCCCTCCCCCTCCCCACGACAGACACCCCCTGTGAGGTGGGTGGGGCTGAGAGAACTCTTGACAGAAACTGCTCTTTTCCAAGGACAGCTGTGCCAGAGCTTGTGACTGGCCCAAGGTCACACCAGCAGCTGCAGGTGGAAGAGTGGGGGAATCAAACCCGGTTCTCCCAGATTAGAGTCTGCGCAGTTAAACCACGACACCAAACTGGCCCGGCGGCTGCGTCAGCCGGGGTGGCGGCTCCTCTCTCCCTCCCTCTCTCCGCCGCCGCTTCCTTCGCCTCTTCCCGCCGTTGCGCGGCCCAGAAGCCCCCTCCCGGCCGCAGGGCAGCGCGCATGCGCGTCGGGAGGGCGTGTCCGAGACGGCTTCCGTACGGCAAGATGGCGCCTCGCGGGCGCGGACGGGGGCGGCCATGGGCGGAGGAGAGCGGCCGTTGGTGACGGCGACGAGCGAGGCTCTTTTCCTGGGCGACGGCCTCCCGGGGACGCCGGCCGCGCGGGCGGGCGAAGGAGGATGGCGGCGTCGGCGGGATGGCCGGTCGGCGGCGTCGGGGGCAGCGCTCGTCCTGCTCCTCTTTCCCCCTCAGCGGCGGAGCCGGAGCGGGATCGGCGCGTGCGGGAGCTGAGCTTGGCGCTGAGGGGCCGCCTGGGGCCCTACGAGCCGCCGCTGAGCGCCCTGCAGGCCGTGCTGGTCTGGGAGAGGCCGGCCCGCAGCGCCCTCGGGTGGGCCGGAGCCCACGCCGCCTTCGGGTGCGTCCGTGTGGGGGGATGTGGGGGCGGGCTTGCCACCTCCCGGCTGGGGAACTCCCGGCGGCGGCTGGGTGTGTGTGGGGGGGAGGGCGGGGGGCCCTCTGTGTGTGTGTGTGTGTGTGTGTGGTGGGGTGCGCGCGCACTGCCACGGAGCCCCCCCCCCAGGCTAAAGGACTGTGAGCTGGCTCACACTAACTCAGCTTAGAGGGAACAGTGCCTCTAACAGGTCTCGTTTTCTCTCCCTTTTCAAAAGGACCTCGCCTTCTCCCGGTTTGCTTCGGGTGGTGCAAAAGAAGGCTGAAGCCTGGGGAGGCCCCCCCCCCCCCCGTCCCCCTGTCTGGTCTCGCCCGGGCAGAGAGGCGCCCCTGAACACCTGGCTTGCAGGGCCAGCTCGCTCTCCAGGCCAACTAGGCGTTTGCCTAGAGCGGGCCGGCCCTTAGGGAGGCCAAACTGCACCCCCCCACCACCACCAAAAGCCCCCCTACCCAGCACAGCCCAGTTTGGTGTAGTGGTGAAGTGCGCGGACTCTAATTTGGGAGAACCGGGTTTGATTCCCCACGCCTCCTCCACTCGCACCTGGCTGGATGGCCTTGGGTCAGTCACAAGCTCTGGCACAGCTGTTCTTGAAAAAGAGCCGTTTCTGTCAGAGTTCTCTCAGCCCCGCCCACCTCACAGGGTGTCTGTTGTGGGGAGGGGAAGGGGAAGAGGTTTGTAAGCCCCTCTGAGACACCTTTGGGTAGTGAAGGGCGGGGTATAAATCCAATCTCTTCTTCTTCTTCTTCCTGTGACCTGCCAGCCCGTGGGAGGCTCCACCGGCAGGGGCCGTGAAAGGAGCCGGGCAGCTGGGTGAGGCAGCAGCCGGGCAAAGTGGGTCAGTCAGTGTGGAAATCCTCTGGCCGCCGCCGGCAGCACCCAAGTGAGGGGGGCAATGCACAGGGGGTGCCAGAAGGGATCCTCGCCTAGGGTGCAAAATAAGCTGGGGCCGGCCCTGCTGGCTTGCTTTCAGTCCTGGCGGGGGGTGGGATAGGAGCCCTGACTGCACAGCCAATGCAGCAGAGTCGCCTCCAAGGCGACCGACGAGCCGGCCTGCTGGACAGTCAGGGGAGGGGGCGGCTTCGGAGCCCCTTTCCCAGGGGAGGGCGGGCCAGGGCGCCCCTCAGGTCACCAGGCAGCTGTTGCTGTGGGAATGGACCAGTGTCAACTCTACACAGGATTGCATAGCCAGCATCTCTTGTTCAATATATCTCAGGCATTCGCCAGTGTTCAGCTCCAGCTTTGCTTGCCAGAGGTATGTGTCTGTAATCACATGCAAAGGTCCCGGTCACACGGCAACGGGAGAGGCACGGATGGTGGGCGGATTATCCGGGCGCAATCACACCCCAACATCTGGGAAGTGGAGCGCACCCGTGGCTTACCGCCGACAATGCGCCTTAAAGAACTAGTACCTCCAAGGTACTAGTAAACGTTTGCCATGGGCTGCCTCCAGACACCCGTGGTGTGATCTCGCCAGCGCACAGCACTCCCCTCCGGTCCCTCGTTTACCCGCCGGCGCTGAGGGAAGGACCCGTGGTGTGCCGCCGGCGCGTCTGATCATGTAATCCGACCCGTGCGACCGGGGCCCTAGTAGACCAGATTGACTTTGAAGGCAGCTTAGTGCTCCACAGTGTTTTCTTGGTTAATTCACCTGCTGCAGAGCTTGCTTCTGGCTGGAATGAGCAGGGAAATGACATTTGTCTCTGTAGTAGTTGAACACTTGGTAACAAGTGATTTGGATACCCCTTGATATACAGTGAATCTTAACATACTTTTAATTTTTTTAAACAAAGAAAAAGCCTTGGAAAAACCTGCCCTGTTCTAGTGGGTCTATAGGGAGCCTTAATCTTTTATCTCCCTTTTCTGTAACCTCTGGACTCTGAAGATGTGGGCTGGGGTTCGATATTGGGGGAAAACATGCAGCTGCTTTTTAATGTTATAGAACGAGAGCTCCGTTGTGTATGGGGCTCAGCTCTTCTAGTCACCCCTGGGTTGTGAGCAGCTGTGGCCCAGTGACACTGGGTCATCCGTATCTGGCTTCCACATCAACCGCTAATCTGGGACAATATGGACAATTAGTCTCTGAGACCTGATAAGGTAAGCCTTAGGAGTCCATCCAAGGAACAGTGATAATAGGAAGTGGCTTCGGACAGAAGAGCAGAAATGTCTTGTTTGTGCAAGATTCTTGGGCTATAGGGGAAGCTTTTAAAGAGGTATTTTTTCTTGTTTTCTGGCAAATAAATGTGATCTTAGTTACAGGCAAGGTCTTGTAAATTGGTGGAGCTGGCTGTTCTGACTTACTGTGGCTTTATGAATGAAAAACAAACCAAAAGAGTTAGGTGTGGGCAAGTGGCCGAGTTGCCACAGAAGGACCTTTTCATGTGTTCTATGCTGCCTAGGGTGAAAGCTGCAAATCAGCCATCTCTTTTCAGCAATCTAAGACATTTCACTTTTCCCTCAGATTCTTTGCTCTGACGTCACTCCATCTGGTCTTCTTGGTTGCTTTTATCCTGATACTAATAGTATGTTTTGATCAGTGGAAGAATAAAATCTGGCCTGAAATAAAAGGTGAGTACTAGCTCTCCCCTGGGCCCCAGAATTTCAGCTCTGGCTTCCCATGTCTCCAAAGTGGTGGTGTTCTCTCTTTCCTTCATCTCCCCAATAACTGGGCTGCAACTAAAACCAAAGATCTTGAATTTCCTTAATCCAAACTGGGGTTACAGATAGGAATCCTGTAGGCTGGGCTCTACTTTCCCTAGCTGGAGGAGGCTTGGGCACAGAGAAGCACCTAAGGTAAATCTCAAAAATGATATGAATATATTGGTCCCGTTACTCTGGTTACTGTGCCAGACAAGCATTTACCTATTTATTTACTATATTTGTAGTCCACCTTTCTCACTGAAACTCAAGGTGGCTTTCAAGAGGATGAGACATCTAATAAACAAGGTACAAGGACTAGGATTACAGAAATCTGAAACAAAGTATTAGTGTTGACAGGTTTGTGTTCAAAATGAACCATGGTAACTGGAGTACTTTAACCCATAAGTATCTATGGTCGCTAGTTCCTCTTTGAGGTTCACCTCTCCTTTTTGTGCCACTGTCGGGAGGACCAGTGGTCTGAAGCATCTAGCTGGCAGTTCACCTCTTCTGAGAGAGATGGGCTGTTGTTTTGAGCGTTGCTTTAAGTACATGTTTCCAGTTTAGTTTTGTATAACCATGTTATTGGACTAGGACAGAGGAAGTTCTGTTGTGGTGTCCTGGCTCCAGAGAAGGCCTGTCTACGGCAATCCTTGACAGAAGAAATGTTGTCACAAGAGCAGTCTTCTTACTCAAGTGAAGAGACTCCAGGCCTTGGCTTTAGTACATCCATAGGCTGAGAACTGAAATGAGCAGCATCCCGATAAAGTCTTGTAGTCATAATGATATCAAATGAACAAAATTAAAGAGCAGTTTTGTTATTGAGGTAGCCATAGAGAGGAATTTAAACCAAAAAAACAGTAGTAGCTTATCAGTCAGAACACAGAAAGCTGCAGCAATTTTAAAATTGCTGACATCGTCTGAATTATTTAGAAGAGGAAAGTTTGCTTCCATATGGAGTTTACAGTTCAGAAGTAAGGTTGGTATTGCAGCCTGGAACCTGATGTTGCTCGATCTCTGGAATATAACCAGTTCTCAGTTCACACCCAGGTTGATGCAGCGACTACAGCATTGGGTTAGTTGTGAGAAACCAAACTTAAAGTTGCTACCCAGCTGGGAAGCTTGCTGTGCACTCTTGGGCGTGTCACTGTCGTTCAGTATACCAGTTGGGGGTAATAGGTGTCTTCCCCCACCCCCCTTTTAATCAAAGAGCAGAAAATCTCAGATGTTTATTTATTTATTTATTTATTTATTTATTCAGGTATTTCTACCCCGCCCTACCCCGCAAGCGGGCTCAGGGCGGCTTACAGGGGCATAAGCCCATACATAAAATTCATTAAAATCCAATAAAATCGCAAAGATACAATCGATAACATACTATTAATAATGATAATAAAGTGCTTTAAGTTCTTTAAGTTCCAAGATGGTCTACAGATGGTCTACCCCTGCCAGCATTAGTTGTATCATTCCGGCAGTATTAGTCCAAGCTAATCGGCTAATCTTGTAGCCATGAAGTTCGCCCTGCCGCCGGGCTATCAAGGGCGATCCAACTTGATGATATTTCCACCATTGGTGGTGGTGGGAGCGGCGGCCCCTACATAAAAGCCTGGTGGAAGAGCTCCGTCTTGCAGGCCCTGCGGAATTGCATAAGATCCCGCAGGGCCCTGATCTCCTCCGGGAGCTCGTTCCACCAGGTAGGGGCCGCCACTGAGAAGGATCTAGTCCTTGTCGCAGCATAACGTGCCTCTCGGGAATCCGGAACCACTAAGCGGCAAGCAGCACTGGACATCCCTATAGGGGTTATTCAGCAGAGTGCACCTTGTGTATTATGGTCCTTGAAGGGATGAGTTATACCTTAACATTCACAAGAGCACACAATTCTAGAGTAGATGTATGGTAACTGCCCACATCTCCCTGGGAAGGAGTGCTCCATATTTTTAGAATCTCGTATCTTAGATTAATTTGCACCAACTTCAGTATTGACTGCTAACCCTTCTCTCTCACTCAAGATTTAGGATACTGAATAATAGAACTGGCAAGTACAAATAGGGAGGATAACCCTGTACCTGGCTGTACAAGTTTATAGGGTCCAGAACTGGGTACATACTTGAATTTAGCGGATGCAGAAGGAAAGCGGGACCTTGGCTAATACCACCTTAACACACTTGTTGGTTAATGTTTGTTGGATGTTTTACTGTATTTACTCAAAAGGAAGACACCCCTGAATGTAAGATAACCCCGCCCCTTAAAATGTCATACAAAAAAGATTTATATTATTGGACATAACTGTATGTTGTATGAAAATTTAAGATGGACCCCTCTTTTTTTATGGGATACCGGGGGGGAAACTAGTCTTGCATTTGAGTAAGTACAGTAATTAGACAGCTAAGCATTTCCCCATTCATTTTCCTTGCAACTAATCCTGATGTGTTTTTAATGTTCTAGTGGCAAGACCTGATGAATTAGACAGTGAGAGGTATGAGATACTAATTCAGATCCCTTTTCTTTGTACTGTGTGGTCTGCGCTTGTGTTGCATACCAGTCCTGTTTTGTGAGTTCAAACTTATTAGCAGGGAATGCCATGCAGTAACTGGACTGAAGGAATGTGTCTTTGCTCCTGCGTATTGCGCACACTCTTGTCCTCATATTTTGCAAATCTGGTTGCAGTCCTCTGCATGCTTAGGAGTAAAGCTACTTTGAATTAAATCCTAAGTGAAACATTTATTGGGACTGGTCTGGAAATTTCTTAAATCCTAAGGCCTTCACACTCCATATGCACATGTATCTACATGTTTTACATAATCTCTGGCTGAATTCTTGAGATGAATCACCCCTTCGTACTCTTAAAAAGTTAATAATCTTCAGCTGTAGTAAATTGCCTTCTTTAAATGCCTGGTACATTTGACAGTGGCAGTTTTTTGCTTCGTGTCCCATTTAATGGAGAATCAATCTCCATTTCCTTCTGGAAGGTTTCCATGCAAAAGTCTCCTTGTTCAGTCATCGGCTGTTTGTGCTGGCAGAGCTGCATTTTTAAAAATCTTTTATTTATTTATTTATTTATACTTTCAGTTTGTACCCCGCTCACCCCCAAAGGGCTCTGAGCGGCTTACACGGTGAATGGTGCAGAGACCTATGCAGAAACCCTAACTATGGCCACTCTTTTATCATAAAAGAGCTGCTTGGATTAAGCAGGTATGAGCCTGACATGGGCAAAGACATGCTGCAAGACATCTTTCGCCTAATGTTGCCCAGGTGAGAGGGAGCCAGTGCAGGGCAGGAAGTGGAGCTTTTGCTCTGAGGCAGGCCGGGTCCATGGCCATCTCAGCCTTCATTCTCCCTCGCTAAAACAATCATGAACTTGTGTGTGTAAGTGTAATAAGGAGAGCCACTTCGAGCTATTATGGGTGCTCCCTGCCATACTAGGACAGTGAGATACCCCTCTTTTTCATCCTTCCAGCTGGGGCTATGTCCATCCACAACAGCTGAGTGTTCCCGAACTGTGTCACTATTTGGCAGAAGGCTGGGTCACAGGAGACAGCTTCATGAGGAGCATGCTGGGTTTCAAAAGACACAACCCAGGCAAGGTAAAAAAAATAATAATACCCAAAACAACATTGTCTGGGAGTGGGCAAGAGGAAAGGGAGGGAGGGTTAAGACACAGTGAAGACCTGACTGTGACAGGTCTTTCTGTTCCCCTTTGTGTATGCTCCGGAGAATGCATACTAAATCTGTAATTGTCCTTTGCAGGCACGAAGCCACGGGTGGGTGTGGTGATGCTTTAGAGCAGTGGTGGCGAACCTATGGCACGGGTGCCATCGCCCCAGCCAGGCCCAGACCATCATTAAAGTGTCGCATTCTCTGCCAAATAATTTTAAGTCAATGAAAGCATTTGGGATTGCTTTCCTTACTTTGTTTAGATCATCTTAAGTTAATGTATGAGTTGTTTTTTCTAAAGTAAAACCTCAGTATTCAGGTTAAATGGCCGTGTTGGCACTTTGCGATGAATAAGTGGGTTTGGGGTCGCAGTTTGGGCACTCGGTCTCTAAAAGGCTCGCCACCACTGCTTTAGAGGATTGCAAGTGAGGGAGTTAAACACAGGGGCAGATGGAGACTATGGCAGCTCTCTTGCTTAGCGGACCTTTCTGCAGGCTTTTGTCCCACCTACCTTCCAAGAGGTTTTGCCCCAATCTGTTGCCTGCATCCAGAACTTGGTCTAAACGCAGGTCTTAAGTTCCCCCCTAATGCCATCCCCAAGGCGTCTCAAGTGTCCTGCCCTTGTTTTTGTCTTGGCACTGGGTAGCAGCAGCCAAAGTGTGTCTGCACAGGTTTGCTTAGTTCCCATAATGTCAGAAGACTTGACTCGGGGTTTTCTTTCTCCAGTTCTGCCTTCTAGCCTGTAGCGTCCTCACTTTTTTGGCTGCCTTGGGCCAGTATATTCCCGGAGTCTGTCTTGCCTATCTAACAAGTGAGTATCTGTGGCTGTGCCCGTCACTCAATAGGGCAGGGCATTTAGATGCCCAGGAGTTTTTTTTTTCTTTATTTGATTTATCTATGTTATGCCGAATAAAGGTTTTCTTCTTCATCTAGAACCTAAAAAAAAATTTAAAAAAAATTTAGATGTTCAGGAGGGTCAAGCTGTGGTTTGACAGTTGGGTTTAGCCAGGACCAACTTCCTTGGGTTGTACTGCACAATGTGCCATGCTGAATACATCTGTGTCTGCCCCAGATTGCTTTCTTGGTTTCTCACTGTTTTGACAGATCCAGGTGGGTAGCCATGTTGGTCTGAAGCAGCAGGACAAAGTTTGAGTCTAGTGGCACCTTTAAAGCCAACAAGGTTTTATTCAAGGTATGAGATTTTGTGTGCTCGCACACTTCCTCAGACACAATGAAATGGAAGTTACCAGTCCATGCATATAGGTAGAGGGTGAGCAGTAAAGGGTAACCATATAAACGAAGCTTGTTATTCCTGTTTGGTTCTTGAATTTGTTAAACATCTTCATTATGTTGTATGCTAATTTACTGCTCACCCTCTACCTGTATATATGGACTGGTAACTTCCATGTCATTGTATCTGAGGAAATGTGCATGCAAGTGAAAGCTTATACCTTGAATAAAACTCTGTTGGTCTTAAAGGTGTCACTGGACTCAAACTTGGTTCACTTTTTAAACGTTTATTGAGTAGAAGCCCATTGATTTGTCAACTGGGGAGGCACCATGACTCAGTGGTAAGAGGGTCCCAGGGCCACTCCTTGGTCTCTTCAGTTAGAAGGCTAAGAGAGTAAGTGATGGGGAAGACCCCTGTCTTCCTGAGGCCCCGGAGAGCTGCTCTCTGTCAAAAGAGACAGTACTGACTTTGGTTTGATTTAGCATAAGGTTGCTTCACGTCTGTGTCTCTTCTTCCTCCTCTAGTGCTTTCCTTCCTCCTGTGGCCCCTTGCTGTGTACCACCACCTAGGTCAGCGCCTGTACGCCAAACTGGAGCCAGCACTGCAGCGATTGGACTTCAGTGTTCGTGGTTATATGATGACCAAGCAGAGGGAGAGGCAATGTGAGTCTGGTGCAGGGCTGGTATCCTGCCTTGCCAGCAGTCACGGGGCGGGAAGCGTATTAGCATACTGAGCTTGCTGTTTTCCTCCTCCTCGCTGGTGATCTGAGGGACTTTGGGCCTTGCCTGCTTGGGTGAAAGTGTAGAACAAGCTCGTGGCTACCTCTGACCACTCCTCCTTTCCTCAGCCCTGTTTCTTGGAGGAGAGCTCTGAATTCTTTCCCACGCTGTAGTAGTTTGTTATCCAAACACATCTCAGTATTGCTGGGGTGGGAGTGTCTCTCCCTGCTCTCTGCAGCTTCTGGCTTGGAGTGTCTCAGCAGCCGAGCTTTGCCTCCAGTCCCTCTCTCCTGCTTTGCTACTCTGAGGACATACTGAGCTTTCCCCTCCCACTTCATAACTGTTCTTTGGGACTCTGATTTCATGCAGTGCGTTACCAGATGTTGAGGAAGCACCCTGCTGCTGGTGATGAGAGTGACAGCGAAGAAGAGCTTGCTGCTTTCTGTCCTAAGGTGAATGATCAGGCCCACCTTCCATTTACACTTTGTCCCGGCAGGACAGCTGTAGCTGGAGTCTGTGGCTCAAGTGGGGTGTGTGTGTGTGCGCTGCTGGGTCGGAGGGTAAGGGAGCTCATTGGTTTTGTCCAGCCTTTCGTGATTCAAGGGCTGCTGGTCAGGTTTTTTAAACGAATAAAACATTGTTTTGCAGGGTACCCCTTTTTGCAGAGATTTGGATTTGTTTAAGAACCGGTTAAGTCCACTTGGGTCAGATTTTGCTTCTGATTGAGTAAAATGTGCAGGGAACTTGTTCTTATTGTGTTGTTTCCATTTGGTGACCCAAAATAATTTTCTTAGAGCTTTGCTGGACACCTTTCTTTCTTTACAGCTGGACGATGCAGCGGTTGCCAAGGAGCTGGCTATCTCCGATTCGGAACACTCCGATGCTGAAGTGTCCTGTACCGACAATGGCACTTTCAATCTCTCACGCGGCCAAACTCCCTTGACTGAGGGGTCAGAAGGTGAGGGCGAAGGAGGCGGGGCCTGGGGTGGGGGTGGGGAAGGCAGACCCTGAGAAACCGCTCCCTTCCACGCTGGCCCAGCTCGCAGCTTTCTAGGAGACTCGGCGTAGCTTTAAAAGAAAGATACCGGCTGCGGTCACACGGAGCATTAGCCACGCTACAGAGACGGAAGGTAGGCAGATTTTCCGGGCGCGATCACACCGCAACATCTGGGAAGCGTAGAGCTCCCGTGGCGAACCCGAGACTTCCCGCTGAAGATGCAGAGTTAAAAACTAGTACCTCCGAGGTACTAGTTTCCGGAAACCGCGGGGCAAGGGCTGGCGTCTGATCGCGTTTCCAGTGGTGGCATCCAGCGCCCGCCCATGTCACTTCGCAAACAGGTTTTTTTCCCCCCCAAGTCTCCACAAGATGCGCACAAGCACCCAATGGCGCATGCGCACAAAGAGAAAAGTGAAAGTGCCGTTTCGGCTTTAAAAAAATAAATGGCCCCGTTTGTCACGGCAGCGGCGCCTAGCTATTGCTGGTGTGATCGCGCTGCACTGCTTCTTTGCCGCGCTGCAGGATCATCGTGTGATCGCCACCCTCGTTTACCCGCCGGCGCCGAGATGAACCGCCAGATCGTGGGTCTAACTGTCGAATCGTCTGTCCCTGTTTAGACCTCGATGGGCACAGCGACCCTGAGGAATCTTTTGCCCGGGATCTCCCAGACTTCCCTTCCATCAACCCTGAGGTGACGGGAATAGACGACGAGGACGACACCAGCATAGGCCTTCCAAGCCTCGCCTTCCGCGCGCAGGGCCCGGAGGATCTCCGGCTCTCCTACGACCAAGAGTCCCTCCTGGGGGCGGGGCCCTCCGCACTCCCCCTGACAGGGGACTTGGCTGGTTTCATGACCAGAGGGATGATCCAGCTGGCCTTGTCTGGGAGCTCCCCGTTGGGCTCTGCGAGTGGCAGCAGGCAGCAGCACAGTGGCAGAGCCTTCCTCCGGACCTCCAGCTCAGAGCTGGACACCGATGCTGAAGGAGACGACTTTGAACTACTCGATCAGTCAGAGCTGAACCAGATGGACCCTGCCAGCTCCCGTGGCCAGTGAAGCGACCGACCTCCTCTTTTCAGTGGAGCTGAGATGGATGTGGCCTGGATGAGAACAGGCTGGTATTCTGCTCGTGGGGTTGTGACCTGGCTAGGGGACTGTGAGAGGCAGCCCGATTTTTAGAATGAACTCCTCCTTGGCACATTCAGAGACTGGCTATAGAAAGTGTGTGCTCCGCACCTCACTTAGGTTGCTGCCTGTTAAACTGCTTGTTCAGAGCCAAAATCTTACTCCTGCTGTTGTGGCTTTTCTTGTTAAATAGGCCCACAAGAGACCATTAAGTCTCCCAGTGCCTCCTGAATATAAGTCAGATGAAGGAACTTAACGTCCTTTGGGATCGGAAGCCAAGTACTACATAGAGCAAGTCCTAAAGTCCCATGCGCAACAAAGGTGACCATCACACCGTAACCCTAATTAAGGTTTTACTCCCCCGATCCTATCAAATGCGTTTGTACTCTGTGTACGTAAGAAAGTTTTGACTTGCCACCTCTGGGGTGCTGGAAGCCACTTCCCTACCCCCAGTAAACATTTGCATTTGTAATGACTCCAAATTCATACCTTGCTGGACCTATCCAGGCGCTTGCTGTGCAGTGTGTTTTTGATAGATGTAGATGCTGGGCTGGCCCTCCCCACATCAGTTCCTTGAACCTTCAGGCTGAAGCAGTGGGGACAGGATGGCCCGGTGGTCAGAGGTCAGCTCAGTCCTCTCCCTGCGCCCCCAGCCACTGCCAGCGTCTACGTGTCTGTGGTAGCCATGAACATGCTTCCTCGCTGACCCGGGAGCGTGTGACCCTTTTGGCAGAGGCTTGCCGGTTGGACGTGTCCCGCGGCCGCCGTGGTTTTTGAGCCTCCTGGCCTTGAGCTCAGGTGGGCCCCTTCTTATGCTGGGGACTGATAATGTAGAAGAGTCCGGCTACTAGCCCAGGTCACAGATTCAACTGGTGATAAAATCAGATGAACAAGGCCTGCTGTCCACAGGCCTCTGGCTCTCCCAAAACTCGTACCGTTTTTTTAAGCATGACAAAAAAAGTGGGCCTTTGGGGCTTGAGAATTGTCTGAAAGGTGTTGGTGATGCCAGCTGGAGCGTGAGGCACTTTTGTTTCTCGGAGGACTCTGTGACCTTACGGCAACTCTGTTTTAACTCCTTAGAACAATGTAAAAACCAAATTCAAAATGGGTGGCACATTTGGGGATTCTTGTTCTTAGTCGCACTGCCTGCATGGCTGGGAGATGTTACCACATTCCTCAAGAACGAGCCATTTCCAGATGGTATCGGGATCATAAGAACGGTGTGGCCCTGGCCCTGTCGTTCGCACACTGTTGTGGCTCTTTGTGTGCGTAAGGCTGGCACGGGTTGTGTTCTTTAACCAGCATCTCTGACCTGCAGAAGAACACAGGCCTCCGCACACTGTGGAGATGCGACAGCTAATATGTTCACAGTTCTGGTGCTCCCTGTATAGAATTCCATATATCACCGTGGGGTGGGGGTGGGGGGGTGTTTGTTGTGTGCAGAACTATTAGAATGGACCCCAGAAAGTTCTGCTTAGCACAAAGCCATTCTGGTGAACTTCTGTGATTACCAGAGACTTGTGAGAATGCTATGATGGCACATTTTGGAGTTTGTATCCATGAGCCTGTAAGAACATGTGAATCTGCAGAACTGAACCATTTCTAACACTTTATATCCAGCTGGAGAGCCTGGCTCTCAGGTGGTCCTCTAGTTCCACCCTAATGTGCACCTCTTTGGGCCTCAATCGAGGATGCTTAGACTTCTTGACAGCATTTGAAAACCTTTGCTATACTCTGTCTATTGTTTCCTTGGCCAGGCAGTAATGTGGTGGTCTAAATTCTATATGCCTGACAAATGTTTGCGGAAGAATCTTGGGTGGTGCTTTGTAAATGGCTTGGTTTTATATCATTTGTGTGGTGATACGGTATTAACTGCCATTTCTAGTGTTTATAAGTATTCAGCATTGTGATTGTTCATAGGTCAATTTGTCACAGTACAGTTTTTTTTAAAAAAGGTAATTTAAACAAAACGCTAATAACTTTAGGTGAGCAACTGAGTTTATCAGATTTTGTGTTCTATGGATTCAAATAAAATTCCGATGCAATAAGACCACACATTCTCCACTATATTAATAGTGAGATGTTATTTCTCTTTTTGTCAAGTGTTTTTCTTCCCTAATTTGGTGCAAAATAAAGAATTCAAAACAAACTCAGGTCCTTTGTTATTCCTCCACTTTTGTAATATTGAGCCTTGCTTTGAAGAATGTTTATAGTGGCCCACGTTGCTGTGGAACAGTCAGTTTGCTTTGTTTCTGTTCTTTCGTTACGGTAACCACCGCCTCCCAACCCACAGCAGTAGAGAGTTAAGTCTTTTACAAATTAAGCTGTGCTCCAGAAAGCATAGAAATTGGAAGAAGATGTCTGAACTTTATGCTGTGTCAGGAACGTGTTCTCTTAGTCTTTCAGCCCCAGTTCTTTTTGGAGCCTGAGTTATAATGGACTTAGAAGGCTATAATTCTCCATAGCCTTGCACTGGTAATCCTTGAAACCAAACAGTGGAATCAGCTGCCTAGGGAGGTAGTGAGCTCCCCCTCATTGGCAGACTGGACAAACACTTGTTGGGAGATACTGTAGGCTGATCCTGCACTGAGCAGGGGGTTGGACTAAATGGCTTGTATGGCCCCTTCCCACTCTGTGATTCTATGATTGAATTTCCTGATTTAACAGATTGTGTTTTTATAGAACATAAAAGCAGCCAAAGAAACCAGTTTCCCCAAAACTCCAAAGTTGTGTGCTGAAAAACATTTTTGGTACATGAAGCTAATTTTGAAGAGTCATTTTTAATGTTCAGTTGTGTTATTTTGCAACATTAAAAAAATTCCTGATACAGCAACCCTTGGAAATTAGATGCGTGTGCATTATCTCCTTTTCCCTATCTCTGCTGTTCCTGAATCTAGCAAGCCAGCAGCCTTTTTGGTTCTGGAAAATGTTCAATCATTTCACATACAGGCATGTGCTCTTCACTTCAGTGACTAACTTAAAATGGGAATTTTGAAAACTCACATCTACCTTGGAGCAGTGAGGGGTAAGGTTCCTATGGTATTTCTAGACAAAGGTACAGGATAGCTGTATTGGTCCAAAGCAAAATCCAGAATTAAAAGTCTGCCGTTGAACAGATTTGTCTCAAACACCAAATGGGATTCTTGAACTGGAGGAAAATGACATGCAAGGAAAAGGTGCTTACGGTGTTTCTTATCACTACAGGATATCACTTCATTTGGTTTCTACTCTTTATTAAGAGGAGGAATAGGATTCTTTTTTAAAAACACATGCTGTGTGGTGGCATTGAAAACAGATGCAGCGGTTTACTTCATCTGCCTATAGGTCCTATTTTAATCCCACCCTCCGCCTGGAAAGCTGATGGTGGCAGATGATTCCCTCTCCTCCATTTTATACTCAGCAGATTAGACTGGGAGTGTGACGTGCTTGAAGTCACCCAGTGAGACTGATGCCGAGTGGAGAGTTGAAGCAGAGTCTCCCGGGGCCTCGTGTAGTGCTGGATCCACGGCACCCCTCCGTGTGCCGCCATTTCTGCGTGATGAAGGACGTGAAATTGCAGAGCGGTCGGGTTAGAACGGATAAAAGGAAGTACTTCTTCACCCAAGGAGTGATGAACACAAGGAATTCACTGCCACAGGAAGTGGTGGCGGCTACAAGCATGGACAGCTTCAAAAGGGAATTAGATAGGCATATGGAGCAGAGGTCCATCAGTGGCTATTAGCCACAAGGTATAGATAGGAACTCTCAGGCTGGGGCAAGTGATGCTCTGTCTTCTTGGTGCTTGGGGGGGGGGTCAACAGTGGGAGGGTTTCTAACGTCCTGGCCCCACTGGTGGACCTCCTGATGGCCCCTGGTATTTCTGGCCACTGTGTGACACAGAGTGTTGGACTGGAGGGGCCTTTGGCCTGATCCAACATTGGCGTCTCTTATGTTCGTATTTGAGGGAATTAGATAAGCCTATGGAGCAGAGGGCCATCGGTGGCTATTAGCCACAAGGTCTAGACAGGGGCTCTGGGGCAAGTGATGCTCTGTATTCTTGGTGGGTGGGGGGGGTCAACAGTGGGAGGGCTTCTAACGTCCTGGCCCCACTGGTGGACCTCCTGATGGCACCTGGTATTTCTGGCCACTGTGTGACACAGAGTGTTGGACTGGATGGGCCTTTGGCCTGATCCAACATTTGCGTCTCTCATGTTCTTATGTGGACCTTCCTTGTTCTGTTCCTTTGAGGCATTGGTGTTTTTCAAGTCCTGATCTCAAATTGCACCACTAACAATGAGGCAGTGGCCACAATGTATTCATTCCTGTGCACGACAAGACATGGTTGTGCCCTGAATCTTTGTACTCGGCTATTCAGAAGAGGAAGACCAAGCATGCAGACGAGCAGGCATGCAGAGGTCATAAGAAAATGTCAGCTCTGAATATAAATAACAGAAGTGTTAACCTGGTATTCTCGAGGCAAACCACACCATATTAAATGAAGCTGCACAAGCAATTCACAAAGAAAGATCTTCCCCCAAAAGCAAGAAACAAAAAGGCTCTACTTAAGACTAATGAAAAACCAACAAAGAAAAACCTTTATAATTGGTAAATTGATTCAGGAGCAACTATGCGTAGTGACAGAAGCTTCTTTGAAATGATTGATGAAGAAAGAAAGCTGTTATTTAGCAAATGGGAAAATCCTCTGTTCTGAAGGCATTGATTTTGGAACACCGTGTTGCAAAGGGCCAGATGGTGCCATCCGAGGAGTCCTTGGCACAAGCTGCCTGTATGTTCCAAACCAGAAAACCTTATTTCTGTTAAGATCAATGGGAAAGGATGGAAAAAGCAAATTTTGATGGCGAGAGATGTTTTGTAAGAGACAAGACAGGTTTAATTGCAAAAGCGTGGTTAAAAAATTGTACAGATTTGAACGTCACAAAGAGAAAAATTTTACAATCACAAGAACTGCATCCAAAAATGGCACGGATGTGTAGGACACAGGGAAAACGACGCAATAAGCCAGCCTGAAAAGAAGAAAAGCGCAAGAGTCCAGCAGCACCTTAAAGGTAAAGGTTCTCTTGCTCGGAAGCCAGTCGAGTCCGACTCTAGGGTTGCGGTGCTCATCTCCGTTTCCAAGCCGAAGAGCCAGCGCTGTCCGAAGACGTTTCCGTGGCCATGTGGCCGGCATGACTAACAAAATATGTGGCAGGGTACGAGTGACTCATGAAAGCTCATACTTGCCACATATTTTGTTAGTTTTCGAGGTGCTCCTGGACTCTTGCTCTTTGCTGCTGCTACCAGACAGACTCACACGGCTGCCCATCTTGATCTATCTCCTGAAAAGATCTTCGCAAAAGGTATACAAATAACCAAATGTGCTGATGCAGCTAAATGTGTGTGCTGTATCAAAGCAAAGGGGACTAGACCAAGATTTAACAAGCAAGGCACAAGCCGAATGCCCCCATGACCCACTCCAGTCAACATCCTGGCTGCAGCATTTGGCACTAATTGAAGTTTCCAACCAGTTCTCAAGGGCAGCCCCACATACAATGCATTGCAGGAATCTAATCTAGCTGTAACCAGGGCATGCACCACAGTGGCTAGATCTTTCCTGCCCAGGAAAAGCTGCAGCTGGCTAACCAGTCAAAGCTGGCAAAAGGCACTCCTGGCCACAGATGCCACCTGCTTAACTAGCAGAAGGCCTAGATCCAAGAGAACTCGCAGACTACAGACCTGATCCTTCAAGGGGGATGCAACCCCATCCGGAATGGGTTAAATCCTGAGTTAGACCTAGACATGGACAAAAAAGTTAGCTTCTGTGAAGAGGAACTTCACTGATATTTTCTTCCATGAGGAACAAAGAGTATAGTAATTTCTTCAACAAGTATCAATACATTTGTATCCTGGACTTGTTGAATGTCTGTCTCTTCTCGATTTGTGGTGATGCCTTTATGGTGTGCATCTGTGAAGTCAAAAGAACACTTTTTTCTAAAATGCTGTATTTAAAATGTATGATCGCTAACACCTGTTGCTGGAGTTGCACTGTGCCAGGGTGAAGCATATACATGGCAGTTGTGCCAGTATGTTAAGTGTGCTGAAAAGTACTGCTAAAATTATAACGGGCAACGCTGGTTACTGTCTCCTGTTCTTAGCCAAAACAATTTTAGTAGGCCGAATCCCAAGTGTGTGGGGGGGGGGGATCAGAAGTTGACTGGAACTGTTTTCTGAAATATATTCACAGCGAAGTGAACGGATCCAGGTGGTCAGATTGGCTGTATGAAAGTAGGAGGCCGTTTTACAGGACAGACAAAGTTGGAAGAAAACACTTTGTGCAGCTGTGTTAACCTGCTTCTCCCTCAGCAATGCTGGATCCAACGTAATCTAGTACTGACCTGGACAGCACAGGCTAGCCTGATCTCGTCAGCTCTCGGAAGTTAAGCAGGGTCTGCCCTGGTCAGTACTTGGGTAGCAGACCACCGGCAAAGTCCAGGGTCACTATGCAGAGACAGGCAAGGGCAAACCCACCTCTGAACACCTCTTGCCTTGAAAACCCCATGGGGTTCACCATACGTCAGCTGTGACCTGAAGGCAACAAACCCCAGAACTATCAGCGCCAAGGCTCCTGAGTCAACAAAAGTAGGGAGCACAGTGCCCTCCTTCAAGATCTCCACCTTCCCAGCCAGCATCATCTCAGCCTTTTCAGGGTTTCAACGTGTTCACTCTTAGCTAACCACAGCAGCCAAGCAGCAATTCGGGACCCTACTGTATCAAGAGGAGTTTTGGATAAGGATATATCAAGCTGGGTATCATCAGCATATTGATTACAACCATTTGCGAAACTACAAGGAGTTGGGCCAAAGAGCTTTGCACAGAGACTGAAAGACATGGGGGACAGAACTGCATGCACAGGATCGCTCCCACACAAATGATAACTGGTCTCCAATGGCAACACTGAGTCCAATCCAGGAGGAATGATTCACACCCGTTTAATACATGTTCCAATACCTACTTCTGCCTCCAAGTGCCTCAACAAGATAGCATGGTCCACTGAATCAAAGGCTTCAGATAAATCGAATGGGAGCAACAAAGGAGCAACAACCTTTGCATATGCTCAGCTGGAGATCATCAACTAAAGACAGCAGGGCTTCAACAGTACGTGGATAGAGAACTGCCAGAAGTACAAGCTGGGTTTGGAAGACGTAGAGGAACTAGAGATCAAATTGCCAACATTATGGAGAAAGCAAGAGAGTACCAGAAAAACATCTGCTTCATTGACTATGCTAAAGCCTTTGACTGTGTGGATCACAACAAACTATGGCAGGTCCTTAAAGAGATGGGAGTACCCGACCACCTCACATGTCTCTTGAGAAACCTGTATAAGGATCAAGAAGCGACAGTTAGAACCGGATATGGAACAACTGATTGGTTTAGCATAGGAAAAGGAGTACGACAAGGATGCATATTGTCACCTTGCTTATTTAATATATATGCAGAGTACATAATGCAAAATGCTGGCCAGGATGAATCACAAGCGGGAATTAAGATTCCTGGGGAAAAGATCAACAACCTCAGATATGCAGACGATACCACTCTAATGGCAGAAAGCGAAGAGGATCTTAAGAGCCTCTTGCTCAGAGTAAAAGAGGAGAGCGCAAAAGTGGGCTTGAAGCTCAATATATAAAAAAACTAAGATCATGGCATCCGGCCCCATCACTCCTTGGCAAATAGAAGGGGAAGTCGTGGAAGTAGTGACAGACTTCACATTCCTGGGATCCCAGATCGCCGCAGACTGTGACAGCAACCATGAAATTAAAAGACACCTGCTCCTTGGGAGGAAGGCGATGGCAAACCTAAACAGCATGATAAAAAGTAGAGACATCACCCTGCCAACAAAACTCCGCATGGTCAAAGCAATGGTATTCCCAGTAGTCATGTATGGCTGCG